CACGGCGAACGACCAGATTGCTTGCATCGACGACAACGAGGACGAGGGACGGGTGTCGTATCTTACCGACTTTAAAAAGAAGTTTGCGCCACTGGTCACGCCGGGATACATGGACCGCGCCGAGGGCGATGTCGGCGCGCTGAGGGACGGCTATGTCGACCTGAGCACGTGGTGCATGACCAAGTTTACGCATCTCGTCTTTGCGGTGGACTTCAAGGCTGTCATGCCAGACTTTTTCACACCCAAGTGGTACAACACCACGGCCATGTCGCGGATCGTGGCGACCATCGAGGAGTACGTCAACGACTACCGCCAGGTGCTGCACTACACGCTGCTGGACACGTTTGTCGAGATCTTTGCCGACGAGCTGCTCATTCGGTACCTGGGGAGCGTGAGGAACAAGGGGGCCAAGTTCAAGCGCACAGACGCGTACCAGGACAAGATCTTTGACGACCTGAGCACCGCATTCGAGTACTTTTCTAGCCTGCCTGATGCGGAACTGGGCGACAGGATCAAGGACACGTGGAGGGTCACCGAGCCGTTTGTTGCGCTGCTGAGCTGTCCCAAGGAGACGGTCGCGGACGAGTTTGCGAGGTTCAAGACTAGCTATTGGGATCTGCAGATTAGCTGGGTTGAGGCCGTCTTGAGGAGCCGGGATGATTTTGAGAGGGCCATGTTGAATTCTGTCAAGGCGCGGGCTGCGCAGATGGATGTTGTCAGGGGGGTTGAGACTATTATGAGTAAGGTCAAGTGAGGCTGTTTCTTGGAGGGGATGGGCAGGTAAAGAATGAGAGTCGGATATCCTTTTTTTTTTTTTTTCTATCATGGAGGAAAGAAGTACGGAAAGGCACTTTTGGAAGATGATAGATATATGATAGATGGGTCATTTTGAAGGGGAAGACTGGGATTAACTAAGCGAATGTCTGTCTGTATATATACCATTTTGTTGGCTTTTTACTGTGGCAGGGTGGTGTTGAATAATGATATGCCTTAAATATCAGCTTTATATACCTTAAATTCCCTTATTAGGCCTATTTCTGATCCCTCTGACGCATTTAAGAGAATAACACGAGATATATAGATTGATCATCAAAGGTGCATGTAATCCATTTTCACACACCATTTCTCGACACTTTCTCAGGTTGGGCGAGTACCTCTCTCTGCCAGAAAATATTATTCTCAGCTCTTTTCCACTGTCTAGGGCATCTAGGCTGTACAAGTTTGCCAGTAATATGGGATTATCTGGGTCATGTTGGGTGCTTAGATCCCTTCTTCTAGCCTGTGTCATACTCTATTCCATGAGGGTGACATATGATTCCTTCCTTTCATATACCCAACCCATTTGGACCCAGTCAGAGCCATTGTCCAGTTCCCCATAATATGATCTCACTCAAGAAAAGCCTCAGCATACTCTTCATACTCGTCCAAGAACCCTTCCACACAGAACTTGCCTCCCATCCCCCTCTTCTCAAGAATCAACCTTCCAGCCATGAGATACCCCTCCGAAAAGCAGCCCACAACCCCGGTGTCCTTTTCCAATGCGGGATAAAAAGCCGATTATCCCCCGTCACCATGGCCCCTTTGAACGCCTGATATATATCCTCTGTATTATCATCCTCCAGCAGATCAACACGGTCACATTGCCCGAAATCCAGCAGGAAAAGCTTTGTTTCTCTCAGTTGTGCCATTTCGAGGCGCGGGCTGTAAGCGCTGGCGTATGGATTAGGTGGCGCTAGACTTGTGCCTAGCACGAATTCCACGTCGTCGCCGGTTATGCCCGCGCCCCAGTGCATTATCGCATAGGCCTAACCCATTTTTTCTGCGAGGAGGTGGGTGTTTAGGTTGAGGTTGTCTTTGGACATGTGGGGGAGGGTTAGGGGGAAGTTTCGCAGAGAGAAATTGTTGGGTTTGAAATGGGCGCTGCAAGGTTTCGACGTGCCGAGGTAGGTCCGTACGAGGCAGTGTTTATTCTCGGGATTGTTGTATGCGGTCTGGCAGTCGGCTGTTGGGTGAAAGTAGTTGACTAGAGCTCGTCGGGTGATCTTGGGCAGGGGCAGGATGCGGTCCATCTTGAGGATTAGGTCGCGGTTTTGGTATTCTGGGGGGGATTTGCAGAGGGAATTGGACCAGAAGGCTTCGTTTTCGGTTTTGTCAGATCGGATTAGGCCGTGAAGACGGGGGACCTGGACTTGGCTGTTTATGCTGCTGTCGTAGAGGTCGAATGCTTCTCTGACGGCTGTGTGGAGGGCGGATTCATTCTCGAGGCTTGTTCGGAGTTGTGAGTTACCTGGGTGCTCCTTTTTGAAGGCCAGCGGGTTGCCGAGCTGTTTGGGTGTTAGCATTGTTTGATAGAATATCGTACTTCTGCTCAACATGGTGTCTTGATGGGGGGTCTGGCTTTGGAGAAGAGATGCTGGATAACTGGAAATGGAGACATACCTGCTCAGAGATTGCGCCCTGGAAACCCGCCCCTATCTGGACAAAGTCATGCGATTCTGCGGGCTCCTTTGCGGCCGCCCTGACCTGGATTGCATATGAAGACGGTATGGCAATGATGGAGTTGAGCTTCAGCGTGGACCTGAGGATACCGGCATCCAGCAACGAAGTGGCGCGACCCTCTCTCATCCGGTCCATCTTGACAGTGTCTCGACTACGCAAAACTTGTTGTCCGATAAACCTGTCTCTCAAATTTGGTCATGAATGTAGTGCCGTAGCGGTACTTATAGTTGAAAAGGAGAGCGTTGGCATCTTGCTTTTTAAGGTTCAGGTGAGGATTATGACAAGGTTCATGAATGCCTGGCGTGTATAAGCTTAAATCCACCAGTTTTCATTACACACATTGTACAACAGCATCATCGGGAGAGATGTATGTCTTTCCTGAAAGTTAGTGACAAGAAAGCGGCCCAAAGGATACAACTATTGCTACTCCTAGGAACGTTGGTAAAGGCTCTGGTTGTTATTTGAACTCTTATTCACGCCAAATTAAGACTTGATTCCGTGTTAATGTCGAAAGCTCTGTGGTCTTGTTGACTACCCCTGAATGGAGATGGGGGTGGTGAGTGGAAGGCATCGCTCCTCCATCTTCGCAGCTCCCTACAAGGTTCCGCCCAGATGTGCAAAGGCACTTGAGGTGGTTCCCAAATTGGAACGCAGTTTCCGTATTCGTACGTATGGCAAGCTACTTTCCCCCACGATACAGCAGTTGTTGAAATTGGAGGATATCGTCGGCTTCCGAGACCAAAGGAGCTCCATAAACGGTAAATGCGAAACGGTAACTGCTGCCTAGTTCCGTTGCAAAGTTTATCGTTGGTACAATTAGGCGCCTAATATACAGGCAGGAACTACTCTTGTTGGAATGAATGCCTTGACTGGCTGGAATAGAGGCCTTGGACTTCTGATATTGGAATAAATACCCTTGACTGGACTTCCAATATTGGAATAAATGCTTTAATTGGTTCAAATAAATGCTTTAACTGGTTTAAATAAATACTCTAACTAGCTCGAATAAATACTTTAACCAACTCGAATAAATGCCTTGACTGGACTGGAATAAATGCCTCGACTGGCTCAAATAAATACCTCTGGTCTTCGGCGCCATCAATCATATCCCGGGGACATGCTGAAACAAGGCCAGCCAAGCGGGATCACGATCGTTCTGGGTGGTGCATCGGGCATCCGCCCACTTACACGGGAAAGAGGGCATGACGTCACTCGTGCTGATTGGCCGCGTTATCCAACCACCACCACCAGCTCCTGCCTACCTGATCCTTTCCCCGCCTTTTCTTTGCTATTTCATTCTCCTCCATTTCCGCTTTCTCTTCTTCCTTTCCAAATCATTTACCAATTTTCTTTCGCAGAACAACTCTGAAAATAACTTGCATCTTCAGCATTCATCAGGCACTAACGATCAGTCATCACATCAACAAATCAACATCACCACGCTCGCCAAAATGATCCAAACAGCCATCTTCACCCTCCTCGCCCAGCTGCTCTTCGCAAGCTTCGCGGCCGCCGCGCCCGTGGCAGTCGAAGCCACCGGCAACAACGCCTGGCAATACGGCACCGGCGGAGGCATTCTCGGCTTGGTTGTCTTGATCGTCGACATCATCTTTTTCGGTATGTCCTTTTCAGACTATATGCTTTCGACAAGAGGCTAACAAAAGAAAACAGTCGAAATCCTCAAATCCAACAGAGCTCCCTCGGCCAAGCTCCTCTGGTCGCTGCTCATTTTCCTCTTCCCCGTCTTCGGCATGATCATCTACTTCCTCTTCTCCAACCGCGAGACGCACAACCAGGGCTCTGGATACGAGCCCCTGACTTAGTTTTTCTGTGGCTGTTGTCATTGTTGCCGAAGAACGAAGGACGACAAGGATAGTGTTCGGCTCGAGGTAATATCGCCCACCGCAACTAAGTCGCTGGACGAGAATAACCGGCTCGACCGGAGAAGAACGAACGACGACGAGGATGGGCCAGAGTGGACCATGTGTCTCCCCCCCGGGATTCATTACTGGATTTAGCGATTGCTTTTATTTGAGGTTTCATTTGGTTCATTTGCTATGGGTACTGGTCCGGAATGACAATGAGCAGCGATGAACGTATAACTTTGGACGCATGGATTTATTTTCCCCACTTCATTCCGGCTTGTGTCTAGTATTTAACTACAGCGTAGGGAGATGCATGATCAAATCAGTATCATGATCTCATCTTTGCATTCTGATCCAGGCTTGCTCCAGCTCCTTGTGATATGTCTGTGTGGCTCTGCGGAAGTCCCTTGTAAATGTGCCACAGGCCTTTCCATATAGTCAGAAATCAGCCGGCATCACGGCACTGTGCACTAATAACTAAGGAAGTTGCAAAAGTATGGGGAGAAATGATCAGAAATCGTATCACTCTCGAACAAAGGTGATGGAAGGTTGAGGGGACCGCCCAAAAGCATTACGTAATCAATGGGACGGGCAACTTGAAGGAATAGCCCGGCAAATGTTACATAACAAGTTCCTGGCGTGGTGGCAGAGTGGTCTAATGCGCAAGACTTGAATCAATCTTGATCAGCGATCTTGTCTCTTCGGAGGCGTCCGTTCGAACCGGGCCCACGTCGACTTTCTTTTTTTTCGGACTCCTTTACTTGGAGTTTACAACCCCATATTCAGTTTGTCATTTTTGGGATCGAGCTTCTTTTTGTCATCTCAAGGCCTCCGCTCTACATTTTGTTATTGCCGCGATTATAGATAATGGTCCTCGGTCACTAAGCATAGGACAGGATACAAGAAACAACAGCAGAATGGGAAGTACGTCCAAAGACTTTCCTTCATCCATTGAAAAATTAGAGCACAAGTTGAATGAATCCGTCATAGCGAGAACTATCTTTTTTTTTAGAAAACAGATACGATATATCCCCCTCGTCTAGCGAGATCCAGAGACATCATCCCCCTTTTCCCTTCCATCCACCAACAATCCTTCATATTTTTTACGTAGTCGGGCGGTATATGACTTGATCTCTGGGCATGGGAAATAGGTTAGCACGGAAGAAATGTTTGCTGGTTTCATACAAACGTCAGCTGTCATCACTCGAATGTCTTAAAGGATAAAAATTCATTTCGTTAACTCGTTGTGTGCTATATAAACTGCATTAAACTAAAGTGATGAGAAATACTCGTTGCTACCTACCTGGCTTGGAACCTTCAACTCTAGATATCTCATCACGAGCAGAAGCAGACAGAATGAAAGAAAACCATCAGCCATATGGTCCATACCTGTCCATTTCTCCATCCCCTCATTCTTATATCCCCCAAACCACTACAAGAAAGAAGTAACACAAAAAACAAAAACCGAAACAAAGCAAACCTAAATAGCAATAAAAAAGCTCTGCTCCCCCTCTTTCCTCACAACCCTAGCCTTCTCCATAATAGGATCAACACAAGCCAACCGGATCCTCTCCGGCGTGGCAGGACTCTCCAACCTCAACAACCCATCATCTCCCTCTCCATTTTCCTCATCTCCTCCAACTTTAGCCTCAACACCATACTGCCTCCTCGCCGCAACAAGCGCATCCCGGATAGCAAAAAACACCGCGCTGCCCATAAACAGCGGCGGCTCACCGACACCCCTGCTGCGCTGGATCGTCCTCAGTTCCTTCCATTCCACCCCCTTAAGCAGCGAGACATTAAACACCTGGGGGATATCCCTGAAGCCGGGGATTTTATACGCGCCCGGCCCGCGGGTAAACAGGTTTCCCTTCATAGGCCCGTTGCGCAGCCAGAGGGACTCCTCCATGGTGAACAGGCCGAGCCCTTGCACGAATGCGCCTTGGATCTGGCCGTAGTCGATGGCCGGGTTGATGGACTGCCCCACGTCCATCTTGATATCTGCCCGGACGCAGGTCCACGTTCCCGTGAGGGTGTCAATCTCCACCTCGGCGGCGGTCACGCCCTGGGTGAAGTAGAAAAACATCTTGCCCTCATTCTTGCCCCACGTGTAGCCGATCTCGGGCGTCTTGTAGAAGCCTTGTGCTGAGAGGTTGACGCGGTCAAAGTACGCCGCGTGGGCGATTTGTTTCATTGTTGCGTCCGGGCCGAGCTTCTCACGGTAGGGCTTGAGGCGCTCGTTGATCTGCTCGCAGGCGTTGAAGATGGCGTAGCCGTTTAGGTCGGAAGACGCGGATGCAGCGGTGGCGGAGGCGTTGGCTACTGTGTTGGTTGCTGTCTCGGAGATGTAGACGTCCTCTAGGGGCACGCCGAGGGCTTGCGCGGCGATCTGTGTCATCTTGGTGTGCAGACCTTGACCCATCTCGGTGCCGCCGTGGGCGACGAGGACGGATCCGTCTTCGTAAATGTGGACCAGTGCTCCGGCCTGGTTGAACCACAGCGCCGTAAAGGAGATACCGAACTTGGTGGGGATCAGGGCAAGGCCGCGCTTGCGCCACTTGTGCTCCTTGTTGAAGTTGGTGATTGCCTCGCGCCGCGCAGCGTAGTTGGACTCCTCCTGGACTTGCTTGTACATCAATGGTACATGCCAGTCGGTGATCGGCTGGTTGAAGTGGGTGACGTCTCCTGGTTGGTAAAAGTTGATCTCGCGGAACTTCTCGACTGGCATCCCAAGTCGGTCGGCAACCTCGGTCATGTACGTCTCGGCGATGAACATGCCCTGAGGACCACCGAAGCCCCGGAAGGCGGTGTTGGACATGGTGTTGGTCTTGCAGATGCGGCCACGGACATGGATGTTGGGGATGAGGTAGCAACCGTCAGAATGGGTCATGGCTCGCTCGCAAACGGCAGCACTCAGATCCCAACTCCATCCGCCATTGTTGAAGATGTCGAGGTCCAGCGCTTGGATCTTGCCGTCCTTGTTGACGCCGACTTTCCACCGCCCAAGGAAGGGATGCCGCTGGCCCGAGAAGATCATGTCCTCCTCGCGGGTCAGCATGCACCTGACGGGCCGCTTGGTCTTTTGCGCAGCAACTGCCAGGAGTGAGCTGAGAGCTACCGAACGTGTCTCCTTCCCGCCAAAGCCACCGCCCATACGCTTGCACCGGACAACCACCTTGTTGCATGGGAGGTTGCAGACCTGTGCGGCATAGACCTGTGTTTCGTTGGGGTTCTGGGTGCTGGCGATGATCTCAATCTCGCCCTCGCCCGGCTTGGGAATCGCAATCGAGGCCTGGGTCTCGAGGTAAAAGTGTTCTTGTCCGCCCATCCTCGCCACGCCGGAAAACGTGTAGTCGCACTTTTTGAATGCCTCCTCGGGGTCCCCCTTTTTGATCTCGCGGAAGTAGTTGTAGAAGCTCTCCTTCTCGATCGCCTCCTCCATGCTGAAGACTGCGGGGAGCTCTTCGTACTCGACCTTGACCGCTCTGGCACCTTCTGCCGCCTTTGCAGCAGATGTAGCGAGGATCATACCGATGGGCTGACCAGCCGTAAAGACCTCATCTTCGGCAAAGAATGTCTCCTGGAAGTGAGGCGCTCCCCAGCGGTTGGCCCTTGGGCTGGGCATGTCATTCTTGTCCACATAGTCCACCACGCCGGGAATGTCCAACGCGGCCGAGTAGTCGACCGAGAGCAACTTTGCATGAGCTTTGGTCGAGAAGACGATGCAGCCGTACAGCTCATTCCTTGCGGGCGGAATGTCATCCACGTATTGCGCCTCGCCCGTGACCTGCTTCAGAGCCGCCACATGGTTTGCCGACTTGCCCACCGTCTCTTGCTCGTAAGCTGCCGCTGCTTGCTCGTCGACTGCTCCTGTAGATATTTCCCTCTCGAGTTCCTCCACGGCCTCCTTGTCGGTGACCTCTTCAGCCTCTTTCAAGCCCGTCATGACCTCGTGGTAGAACCGGTAAAAGAAGCCCAAAGCCAGCGACTTGCGGTACGACGCCATACCACCTGGGACGCCGAACGGGAGGTCAAAGTCCTGTTCCAAAGCATTCATAGCTCCCTCCAGGGTCTCTAGCTCAGCAAATTTCTTGCCAACGAGATATTCGCTCGTTTTCTTGGCCGCTACAGTCATGGCCGCCATACCACCGTATGCCAGGGTGCACGCCTCCACGATTCCGTCGTCGCTCAGGCGAACCTTGAGCGCTGCCGTAACGATAGCAATGTCGTCGTCCTTCCTCTTGGCCTGCTTATACGCCCGGAAGAACTCGTTCTTCTCCTTGGTAAGCGGAATGCGAATCGAAGCAAGAATTGCATCAGCTGGAAGGGCCGTCCGGCGGTAGCCCTGGAAGAATTCCGCCATGGGGATCTCGGTTTCCTTGTTCTTGGACTTTGCAACGACAACGGCATCGGAAGCGAGAAAGACTGGGTTCAGATCCGAGATGGGAGATGCTGTGACGAGGTTCCCCGCCGGCGTTCCAACGTTCCTGATCTGCCTGCCGGCAAAGTACTTGATCTGCTTGTTGATGGCGTTGAAAATCTGCCCTCTTGCACCATACTCCTTGCCCGTCTTCTCGCTCAAATGCTCCAAGTCCGTGAGGGTGATGTTGCCGCCAATCTCGAAATAGTCGTCCTTGAGTGTAAACTGGCGGAGCTCGGGAATGTCTCCGACAAATACCGAGATGGGGTACTGCAGGGCCTTGAACTTGATCTCGATCTGGGTTTCGGAGCTACCACCGATGATCTTGGCCGAAGGGAAGGCACTCTTGATCTCTAGCAGTTGGTCGATAGTGACAGGACGATACCACCTCTTCCTCTTGTTTCCAAGCGACAAGGGCTTGAATTCGTGTTTTTTGAGAGCTGGAGGGAAAATGAGTTCCGTGTCGGGGTTATACTCGATGAAGCCTGGTGGAGTGAAGCGCTTGATAGGTTGGTCGCCGTCCTCCTTTGCACCTCCTCCGCAGCCACCACTCCCTCCGTTTTCCATACAGCAACCACTGCCCCCGTTTGTTTTGCTGTTCCCGCATGCCGATGCCTTCTTGGATACTGTGAATGTGTTGGCAGCGTCTAGGATAGGCCTATAACCCGTGCAACGACAGAGGTTACCATCAAAGGCCTCTTCGACGTCGTGCTCGGTAGGGCTGTCGTTGTTCCGGAGCAGAGCATATAGACTCATGACAATGCCCGGTGTGCAAAAGCCACATTGTGAGCCGTTGCTCTTGGCCACACGTTCCTGAGCCGGGTGAGGCTGCTTCACATTACCAATACCCTCGACGGTGATGACATGCTTGCCATCAACCGACACTAACGGGGCAAGACATGCGTTCACGCTGGCATGGTAGATCTGTTTGGTGGTTGGGTTATACTGAGAGACGACGACGGTGCAAGCGCCACAGCCTCCTTCGCCACAGCCACTGTCAAATGAGACATGTTAGGGACGATTCATGGAATAGCAACTATAGTAAAGACCTACAGCTTGGTCCCTGTCAAGCCAATGCCGCGGAGGTATTCTAAAAGAGTGATTTCTGGGTCGATATCGTCGAGGACGACACGGGTCCCGTTGAGGTAGAAGCGCAGGGTATCATCAAAGGTGGTTGTCAAGGTCCCAAGAGGGGCATCGGGCTCGGGAGAGATGGCCGACGGAGCCATGGTCTCGCTCGGGACGGGAACCAGATCTCAAGTCAATGTAGAACGATGAGCATGCACAGCTGGTGTCAAGCAGGTATTCGTTGGA